ATTCCTGCCACAAGACTAATCTTTACAACCCTCTCCCATTTTGCGCCCCTATCAACCTGCAGGAAGGTGGATGCTTCACGATAACTGGGGAGACGCCCATCCCCGTTAGAGAAAAGCACCTTCACCTGCATCAGAGGTGGACCCTCTGTCACACGGGTTCTCTGGGCAGAGCAGTAGGTCAGCACCCAGACCTTTGGTTCCCGGTCTGTGGGTCGGGGATGAGGACATCATTCAAAAGGGGAGAGAGGTTCTCAGTCTCCAAAGTGACAGGACAATTATGTGGTGGCACCCGGGGAGGTGGCTGCACCCCGGACGAAATGATTGTGTGGGGGAAGAACCCCTGTCCCCAGGATGGTGTGGGTGCAGCCGAGAGAGGCTGGCCCTGGAGGGATGGTGGGAGGGAGTCCCCACTGGAACCTACACAGGTGTCCCCTCCAACAGAAGACCCCAGGACCCCGCAGGGCGCAGGGGAACCACGGAGCTGACAGAGCGTGTCTCACTGAAATTAAGATGAGTTATGAGAACATAAAGAAAGCCAGCTTTCTGCACACTGTGCCTGCAGACAGATTCGTGGCCGACAAATTTCTACCTTTCTCAGCATCTGGCTCCCCCTACCCCAGTGCTCGGAGACTCTGAAAATCTTATCTCAAAGAGGCTATTCCATCATTGCTGAGGCGGGAAACTCCGCAGCTAGAGTCGAAGAATTTGGGAGGACCAGGAAAAAGTCCCCTGCCCTCCGTCTAGTGCCTAGACCCTCCCACCTCCCGGGCGATGCAGTCAGGTTGCTGGGAGAAGGCATCTGGGAAATACAGCCCCCCACCCCAAGGCATCCAGGCAGGATGGGCTGGTCTGACCCCAGGACCAGCACACCCTGCCTCGCCCCTGGTTCCAGGCTCAGGGCCCCCAGCGCTGGCGCCCAGCTGTTTGTGGCAGGAATGAATTCATTTGACCCAAATACTTCCTTATCTTCTGGGCTACTAGTTTCAAGTGCAACAAAGAGCCCCACAGCTCGAGGGAGGAGCAGAGGGAAATAAATCAGCATTGAAATGAGACTCGTGACAAAACTGAGAAACTCAGCGTGACTTCCGGCAGGTGCCCAGGTGCACCCACAGCGCCTGCATTAAGGTCCAGCCTCCCGCTGCCCCAGGTGACCACCTGACCACAGCGGACCTTGCCCTGAGAGCCTCTCGGGAAGGGAGGAGGCCTGACCCTGGGGGAGGTGGCTGGGCATCGCCTTGGCCCGAGGCTGCTTCCTCTCACCTGTTTTCTGCGAGCCTCTGCCTGGCCCTGGGGCCACGGCCACGCCCCAGCCCGCCTGTTGAGGGAACAGAACTTTCCCCTGGCCAGAAGCGGGGAGAAAGGGGACGCACGTAGGGGGCCCTGTGGGACCCGGTGATGACAGGGTGTCAGGCTCACTGGAAGTGACCAGGCCTGGGGAACAGGTGAGTCATTGTTTAAACTTCTGTGTACTTTGTCGAGTGTGTGCGTGTATCTGTGTGCAAATATCGATGTGTGTCTGTTTGTATCTGTGGGTCTGTGTGTATTTGTGTCTGTGTGCATGTATGTGAGTGTGAATGTATCCGTGGGTGTGAGTGTATCTGTGTGTGTCATGTGTGCCTGCACCTTTGTGTCTGACGTGTGTCTGTGCCCGAGGCCCAGGGCACAGAATCAAAAGGGTGAAGTGAAGAGCCAGGAGTGTGTTCTCCTGAGCGCCAGAGGTGTCCTTGCTTGTCCCCGATGGCTTGCTAGGTCAGGGTCCTGGAAGGAGATTCCTATTTAAAGAGTGGCCTCTGGGAAAATCCAGTTAAAGGCTTGAACGTAATGAATAGGAGCCCTTACAGGAATCCATTTCAAACGGATCACGGTGCCCAAGTGCTACCGACTGACCTCAGAGTAAACAACTGCACAGTAATCCCTGCGTTCCTTACACGTCTGGGCGGGGAGAGCTGGAGGAGGACGTGCTCGCTGGCAACGGACTCGGCAGATCAGACGCTTCCCTGGAGCGACCCTCCCCCAGGAAGACTGGTTTGGACTTGCAATCTCTCCTTTTTCCCTTGGTGCAAGGAGATGAGCTTGTCAGAAATGAAAAGCCCGAAACCGAAATGCTCCGGAGGGTGTCCCTGTTGGCCCCCGATCACGAACGTGGCATTCTTGAGATCGTCTCTGCGTTTAGAGACACTTCAGTAACCCTGTCTTCATGAAATTCCAGGAGCTGGGTCAGGAGTCACATTTTTCAATTGGAGTCCTCTCTGAACAGAGGGCTTCAACCTCTAATCAACGTGTAATCACACGAAGACTCATACATGAAAATGCTTACTGCAGTCTTATTTATTACAGAGAAAAAACAATTAAAGCCAAGTAAAAATCCAGTAACAGAGAAACAGTTCAGGAAATTGGAATCGTTGTAGGGGTATTATGTGGTCATTAAAAACACATAGGTCAAATGCATCTACAACATATGCCCTTCATATGTCTTACTTTTTTTCTTAATGTAAGATGCATAATTTTATGTTAAAATGATGGTTTGTTTTTAAGATTCTTAAACAAAAAATTAGAAGAAAGTAGGCAAAATACCATCCCTCGTTGTATTAAGGGTGTGGGATTATGGGTAATTTCATTTTTTTCATATTGATAATTATGTGTTTATATTTATTGGAAAATAATGTTTTTAGATAAAGAGATGTGTCACCTGTATGTGGTATCATAGTAATGGCATGTTTATTCATACTCCACCGATTTTGGTTAATTCAGACATGTCTGGGGCTAAAGATTTTCTTGACTTAAGGAGAGTTTTATTAATTAGTGCATATAAATAGCAAGGAGAACTTAAAGGGGCGTCTTTAAATACTTGAGAATTGCTGTAGGTGTGTTAGAACTTTCTTTATGTAAAATTACAGCACAAATCTGTGGGATATCTGCTTCTAAGCAGGTGCTTTAAGTATTTTCGCAAGAAACAAGGTATTAGCCTGGGGTGGCACAGAAACCTGGGGAATTCCATTCTTAAAAGTGTTCCTTTTTTCCAGCTTTATTGACACAATTGACATATATATAACATTGGGTAAATTTAAGGTATGTTACGTGTTGATTGGGTACATTTACGTATTGCAAAAACACCTCTACCCCGTCACATAATTACCATTTCTTTTTGTGGTGAGAACACTTAAGATCTACTCTCTTAATACTTTTCGGGTGTATAATACCATATTAGCTTTAATCATCATCACGCTGTACATGAGATCCCCAGAACCTGTCAATCTTACAACTGAAGTTTGCACCCTTTTACCAATATCACCCCAATTCCCACACACACCCCAGCCTCTGTTCACCACCACTCTACTCTCTGTTTCTCTACATTAGGCCAAAAAAAAAGTGGTTTATAAGTGAGGGCTTGCTACTGAGCTGACCGTCTTTTGGGCAATGAGGTCAGGCCAGCTGCTCCCAGGCAGGCTCATTGCACCAGCGGTTCTTGATGTGGATGGAGCGCAGGTCCTGCTGCCTCTGTAAGTGACTGAAATGATGCTCGTGCCTGGTGAATCCAGTGTGGACGTGAAGGCAGCCTGTTCTGGCTTTAAAAAAAAATTTGCTTTTAAATTTGTTTTATTGAAGCATAGTTGATTTACAATGTTGTGTGAATTTCTGCTGTACAGCAAAGTGATTCAGTTATACATATACATACATTCCTTTTCATATTCTTTTCCATTATGGTTTATCCCGGGATAGTGAATATAATTCCCTGTGCTATACAGTAGGACCTTGTTGTTTATCCATCCGATATATAATAGTTTGCACCTGCTGACCCCAAACTCCCAATCCATCCCTCCCCCGCCCCCATCCTCCTCCGTGAGCCTGCTCTGGCTTGGACTCCTGCAACTTTCTCTTAGAAAAGCTGCTGGGCCTCTCTGTAAGGTGGGGTAACGCCAGGACCCCCGGAGGCTTGTTGCTCCACTGCAGTAGAAACCTGTGTGCAGCCGAGCCGTGCAGGGGCCCTGAGCACGGTCACCCTGCGCCTCAGTGGAGATGGCGGGTCCATTAGCCTTGGCCCCCCCTCCCCCGCAGTGTTGTAGGGCAAGGGCTCCCTGCCCAACAAGCATAGAAGCCAAGACTATGAAACTGGCTTTTGAGAAAAGACAGAAGTTTAATTCGAGGTCGACCGGCAAGGCTCTCTGCAATCCACGTTTGGGGCAAAATTTAAGGGCTTCGGGGAATTTTAAACTTGGAAGCGAACTGGCTAGTCTTGAATCAGTCCCTATAAGCTACGCGCGCGCTCCTGGAAGCCAGATTTTCCTTATTAAAGGACCTGTCCTTCCTAAAGGGCTCCGGTGGCAACATTTCTATTCTTTGAGTTCCCTAGTCTGGAGCCTCTTGGTTCGGGGGTCATCCTGGAGACGTGGGTTCCCTCCTTGTGTATGCGCAGTGCTGTCTCTGTACCGTAACTCCGGGTTTGATTAGTCAACCCACCTCTTTAAGGAGGCAAAACCACTTTAAGTTGGTCAAGGTTTTACGTGCTGTTACAGCAGCCTCATCTGAATACGTTGTCTCAATCTGAATGCCGGGTGGCCTTTAAACCTGTAACTTTCTGCTTTTCTTGGTCACTCGGGCTGAGCTGCCTGGAGGAAGCTGGTCCCAGCACGTGCTGGATGCCCCTCCTGGTCTCTCTTTCTGCAGAGATCCCAGCCCGCTTTTTCTTTTTCTTTTTCTTTTTTTTTTTTTTGCGGTACGCGGGCCTCTCACTGTTGTGGCCTCTCCCGTTGCGGAGCACAGGCTCCGGACGCGCAGGCTCAGCGGCCATGGCTCACGGGCCCAGCCGCTCTGCGGCATGTGGGATCTTCCCGGACCGGGGCACGAACCCGCGTTCCCCGCATCGGCAGGCGGACTCTCAACCACTGCACCACCAGGGAAGCCCCAGCCCACTTTTTGACAAGCTCCCTGGGGTTGGACTGGCTGTGCAAACTATGCGGTGGAAACAGCATGTCTGTCTAGTTATGACTTGCTAAGCCATCCCCACGGATATGCACGAGACATTTATTGAGCACCTACTGTAATCTCAGTGAATACTGTCTTTGCTTTTGTGAGCAGTTATAGCCCGGCGAGAGAGAGAACCAAGAAAAAAATAATTCTACGAATTAAGGCAGAGCTGGAAACAGATCATTTCCATCAAGAGGAGGAACAGGGAGCTGTAGGCCCCATGATGCAGAGACTTTTCTCTCTTTTATGAACTGCTATTTATGGGGACTGGACACACGATCGGGGATGAGGGCGTGGGGTAAGGGTGGCAGTTGTGAGACCAGCAGGAGGCTGTGGTGGGAGAGGGATTTGCATCAACGTGAACAGAGAGAAGAGAGCAGATGTAGCAGCTTTACCGTAAGGCAAATTCCCCAGATGATTAGGCCGTGGGGTTGACAGGTAAGCAGCTCTAGCAACCTCTGAACTTTGAGCCAACAACTTTTTGTTATCTTTCCTGCGGCTTCTATCCTCATTCCGGACTCTGATTTGCCCTTTGGCCTGTAGAGCTGAATCATAGGCTGTCATTTTATCCCTGGAGGGCCAGCCACTTTGGGGGGCTCCCCCATTTGTTCCTGGTGTTTATTTTATTTTGCCTTTGAGTTTAATTTCTACCAGTGGATCAGAAATCTGTAGAAGGACTGCTTTGAATTCCTGCATGGGTGGTGGGTTCTGGAGAGAGGACTGGCCCCTGCAGAACTCCATTCCCCAACCCCCGGGGCACCTGTGGGTCTGCGGGGTGCAGAGGAATTTGCAGGGTGCCCTGGCGGGATGTTGTCCGTTGACACAATTAAGCATCATCCCCGATGGTGAAACTTGAGAGCATCCCATGGAAGATGGGGTTCCAGACATGCTTTCCAATAACCATTCAGCTCTGCTGTGTCCCTTTAGCCAGGGAGTGGATGGGCCTGTGAACCCTTCTCTGCCAGACCCTGTAACTCCAGTCACTTTCTGTTTAGAAAGTCTTGTTGGTATTTAGGACTCAGTCCTGTTTGTTTTTAAACTTTGATCCCAAACTCGATTCTTTTCCTTTTGTCCCCACAGGGCAGGCCAGACCAGTCTGTGGCTGTGGCTGCTTGTTGGGGACAGTGAGGAAACAGGGTCTGCTTCCTACTGCTCTCGCTTTTCTCCCTCCCTCTTCAAAATCCCTTCCCTTCCTCCATTCCCACCCACTGCAATGAGAGGCTTTGTTCACTGGACAGGCTAGCTCTGAGGTGGGTTTGGGTATTTTTCAGGGGAAGTTTTCTCTAGATGCAATCCAGATAATAGATGAAGACAAAATGATAACAGTGGAATGCTACCAGTTTGCAGCCCCCGAATGAGACAGTGGACATAGGGACAGTTTTCAATGGCTGCTAACATCACAGAGACACCACCAGACATTATTTGCCTCCTGAGGAAATGCCCACCACACTCAGGACAGTATTCTTGCCAAAAGATAGCCTATATCCAATCAGATTTCTGTTCTGAGCCACCAAGCTACAGAAAATCAGGGTTCAAGGGAACACATTCAGTGACAACATAGGGATGCAATCAGCAAAATCCAGATTGGAAACTACAAGGCAATCTGATTTCTTCAACAAATAAATTACAGAGAAAAAGAGGATGCATGTACGTATACTGAGATTTGCAGGAGAATTAATAGGATGTCTAGGAATTCCCTCAAACTAATCTTCGGAGGAAGGGGGGTTTGGGGATGTGGGTGAAACAAGATTGGCTACAGCTGATTCTTGTGGAGGGGGATGATGGAGATCTGAGGTCCCCCAGAATGACCTCCATCCTCTCTGTTCTGGTACATGCTTGAAATTTTCTACGATGAAAACATGTGCAGGGTTTGCCCAAATTAATTTTGATCACAGAGCCGTTTTTCTCCAGGGCATATCACTGTGGGTTCTGAGGCTTTCAATACAGTGGGAAGGAATGCAATGTTTTGAGGTCCTTGAAACACCAAACTTTTTTGTAAATAGATTTTCTTGAAACACAAATTTTAATCCATGAACCACAATTGAGAGAGTGCTGTACATTTTAGGTATTTCAGAACCTTTTTGGAATAAGTCATAGGTTTTTCAAAAGTGAGAGGTGATGGAAAGAGGGCAATGAGCCAGTATGATGACTAGCACACAATCACTACTTTGCAGGGTACGAAGCCGTTCATTTGCATAGGCCCCTGCCGGGCACCGTGGACACGCTTTGCAAGCACCTCACAACACTTTCACCCTGTCCGGGGGTGAAAACCCCTACTTCCCACCTAAAATAGGGAAACCCAGTGTGTGTTTTGTGCCAATCCTCTCAGGAGGCAGCCGTCATGGTGGAAGAGACACCTCACTGGGAACAAAAGCTTTGGTATGAAATTTGGGCTCCGCTATGGATAAGCCTTCCGTTTCTCTGTGTCCACTCATTCATTCATTCAGTCACTCATCCATTCACTCACTCACAGCAGGCGTATATTATAGCTATTGTTCACCCCACTTTCCAGAAGGGGAGATGGGGTGCAGAGTGGCAAGCCAGGTGCCTCTGACTTGGAGCTCCTTTCCATTCAAGGCTGTCCATATTCATCCAGGGCAGCAGCATCCCGGGGGTGCACTTGCTGAGATTATTTGGCATCTGACATTCAGCCTCCGTCCATCATTGTCTCTCTGCAGGGCATGGCGCAGGTGGATGGGGCCTCCTGGCCCGGGGCTGCCCTGGGCCAGGCCTGCATCTTCAAGCTGGTCCTCCTGGGCAGTGGTTCTGTGGGCAAGTCCAGCTTGGCTCTCCAGTATGTGAAGAATGATTTCAAGAGCATCCTGCCGACCGTGGGATGTAAGTGACGGGACAGGGCACCCTTCCTTCGTCTCCTGGTGGGGAAGCCAGGGCTGCTGACCCACATGAGGGGCACCTGGGGACGAGGCCGCCTGGGAACTTCCCAGGCTCTCCTGGAGCCTCGGGCAGTGCCTGGCACGTGCAGGGAGGCCCTGAGGCCCACCCCAGGCAGGCATGCACACGGAGTCCAGAACTCAGACAGGTTTCAGCTCAGCTGGAGTCTGCGGGGGCCGGGGAGGGGGCGGGTAGTGTATCAGGGACAGAGTTTCTGGCCCCAAAGGGTTGGGTGTGTGAGGGCTTCTGCTGGTGGAGGGGGGAGCCCAGAAGAATCTGCCCCCAGGCTCTGCCACTCAGCCCTCTAGACAAGCCGGCCTCTCACCCTGGCTGGTTGCTCTCCTGCTAACACTGCTCCCTTTCTGCCTGGACTCGGCTTACCCACCTGGCCTGGGCTGGCGGATAGGGTGGGTGCTGTAGGAAGGGACGGCAGGGAGGGAGGCCCCTCTCACTGCACTGCTTAAAGAGGATAGCAAGTCGTGGCTTTCAGAGGGGAGGGACTTTGGCGCATCTGTGGACAACTGGTCTCCTTCACATCCTGTCTGGGGGTGAAAAGCCCCACTTCCCACCTAAAATAGGGAAACCCATTGTGTGCTTTGTGCCAGTCCTCTCGGGAGGCAGCCATCATGGTGGAAGAGACACCTCACTGGGAACAAAATCTTTGGTATGAAATTTGGACTCCGCTATGGATAAGCCTTCCGTTTCTCTGTGTCCACTCATTCATTCATTCATTCACCCATCCATTCATTCACTCACTCATCCATTCACTCACTCACTCATCCATTCACTCACTCACTCATCCATTCATTCACTCACTCATCCATTCATTCACTCATCCATTCATTCACTCACTCAGTAAGTATCTGTTGGGTGTGGCCCCTGTCCCAGGCCCACATTAGGTATGGAGGGTTCTCTAAGATGCCAAGCAGACACACCACCATAGAAACAGAGCACAAAATTCAGCAAACGGTATTAACACCTTGGGGGCCCTCAATCTTCTCAGGAGGGTGGTTCCTGAGTCCCTGAGGAACATGCGGCCCGAAGGGACCTGCCAGAGCCAGGCCCCCAGAAATAGTGGTGAGAAGGGCAAAAGCAGGGTGAAGGGCTGGCCCCAGGGCAGGAACGCAGGGAGAGCTGGTAAAGACTGTGGATTCAGGCCGGCTGAGGGGCACGCAGGGCCACCTCCTCTCCATCAGCAGGGAAGTTGACACCGCTCACCCGTGATATCAGACTGGGCTTTAAAAAAATACGACAAAGTGCCAAGTCTGGCTTCAAGCTGGGTTTCGTTGAGAGCAGAGACCATAGAAGGGGGCCAGGCCAAGCTGGGATATTGAGGGCTGTGTGCCTGGGTGTGAATCTGGATTGCAATTCAGGGGAGGGAGACAGCAGGGACGAGACCGGGCGGCTTGTCGGGTTGGATCTCACTCTAAGACCGAGGTCTGAGGCCACGGCTCACAGGGCTCTGCTTGTTTTTGCAAATAAGGTTCTATGGGGACACAGCCCCGCTCATGCCTGTGTATCCTCTGTGGCTGCTTTCCCTCTGGAAGGGTGGCTTTGAGTTGATTGCCGGCAACGGTGACAGTACCTCCCTCGAAGCCTAAAATGTTTACTACAGGGAACTTCCCCCCAAAAGTTTAGGACCCCTGCTCGAGAGCCAGTATCTCGGGAGGCAGTGGGCGGCCAGGGGGTGGGCTCCAGCGGGCATGGAGTGGCCTGGGGACTCACGGTGAGTCGAGAACTTAGCTTAGTGGGCCCAGGGAGGCCTGCAACTCTGACCTACCTTGTGGGGCAGAAGAGGCCCCATAATCACAGAGCCAGGCCGAGGCTGCGGGCGGTGCTGGCGTTCTGTATTTCCGGGGAGGGAAAGGGGAGCGCAGACAAGTTCGCTAACTCTCCCAAGCGAGAAACCCGCAGGTCCAGCGCGCTGCAGCCTGTGGACGGTGGGTGGGGTGCCCTGTCTCCCCAACCCCAGTCACCTCCGCTGCTTCCTTTAGCTCCAGCAAGTTGGGGGCCAAGCCGTCGCCCTCCCCAGCCTGTCCAAGTCACCCCGCTCTCTTCAGGGGTCCTACGAGGGTCAGGAGCGTGCACAGAGCCTGGGCTCGGGTCAGGGTGGGGGGCGGGGTGCGCCCTTTCCACTCTTGGTCCTCTGCCTGGCCCCGGCCATCCTCCTCCTGCCCGTGCCCCTGCCCCAGGCCCAGGCTCATCTCCCCAGGACCCCGCCTCTGCCCTGGGGCTGGTGCCCTAGGCCTTGGCTTCCACTCCGGCTTCCTGGGCTGCCGGATCAGTGTTGTGGGCCCCAGCCCTCTAGGTGGGTTTAGCGGTCCTTTATTCAATCAGCCACCAGCCTATTTATGGAGCACCTACTAGGTGCCAGCCACTGAGCTGGGTGTAAGGGAAGTAGAGATGAGTGCGCCCTCCTTTGCTTTGAGGAGCTAAATCCCCTGTGGGAATGATGGTCTCCGCCACGTACATCTCTGGGCCTACTTTACATGCCTTGTACACCTTGTGATGTTCTTATGACCTTTGCAGGTGGATATTATAATGATTATTAAGTTTTTATAAAAATAAATAAATAATATTATTTTTTATAATATGATATTTAGTCACGTATTATATTCTATGTGATTTTATTAATTATTATGCTATGATAATTATTATATTATTATAAAAGCAGACATTCCCCCTGTTTTTGTTTTTTCTGGTTTGGCCACACCGCACAGCAGGTGGGATCTTAGTTCCCTGACCAGGGATCGAACCTGCGCCCCCTGCTTTGGAAATGCGGAGTCTTAACCACTGGACCGCCAGGGAAGTTCCCTGAATTTTCAGAGGAGGCAATGGACCACGAATATCCCTTTAATCTAAGGGAGGCAGTCTGTGTTGTACAGAAACCCTTTGAAGGCAGACACGACCACTGCTTTCTCACTACGGCTTGGCTTTATGAGGCATAAGAGGAGCAGAGCCGTAGGGAGAGGATGAGGGCCCTCACCTCCTCCCCGGGGGCAGCTGGGGGACAAGGTGGTGGTGCCTCGCCCAGGGCTTGGCCTGCAGGAAGCCCTTGGTAAATATGAGCTGAACTTACAAATGAGGGGACAGGGGACGGCCGAGGGCAAGGGCTTAGGCTCTCAGCGCCATGCTTTCGTCTGTAAAATGGGATGTACAGTCCTCTCTATGGGGGGGAGGGCTTCGTGAAAGGTCGACAAAGGATGTCAAGTCACGGATCACCACGTTTTGACTTAAGGTTGGGATGCTGAAAGCTCAGCCTCTGTGCACCGGTGTGGAATTGTATCTCAGAGACAGAGTTTGGGGTAAAGTAGGAAAGAATAGCTTTATTACTTTGCCAGGCAAAGGGGGAGACAGCGGGCTCCTGCCCTCGAAAACTGTGGGTCCCAACCCGGGAGGATTTAGTGAGCAGTTTTATAACAATGTTTCAAGGCCAGGGTTGCTGATAAGGATCAGGGTGTGTGCAGGGCCTCCTTTAATGTGGCCTCAGGTGGTTCTTGATGAGGTTATCAAACCGTGATCTTCTCTGGAATGCAGTTGGCTGACATCTGTTTGTTGGGGGTTTTAGTTCTGTAAGGAGCTCAAAGATATTGTTATATGTATCCTTTATTTTTAAAAATAAATTTATTTATTTTATTTTATTTATTGTTGGCTGCATTGGGTCTTCGTTGCTGCACGCGGGCTTTCTCTAGTTGCGGCGAGCGGGGGCTACTCTTCGTTGCGGTGCGGTGCCTTCTCGTTGCGGAGCACAGGCTCAAGGCACGCGGGCTTCAGTAGCTGTGGCTCGCTCTATGGGGGGGAGGGCTTCGTGAAAGGTCGACAAAGGATGTCAAGTCACGGATCACCACGTTTTGACTTAAGGTTGGGATGCTGAAAGCTCAGCCTCTGTGCACCGGTGTGGAATTGTATCTCAGAGACAGAGTTTGGGGTAAAGTAGGAAAGAATAGCTTTATTACTTTGCCAGGCAAAGGGGGAGACAGCGGGCTCCTGCCCTCGAAAACTGTGGGTCCCAACCCGGGAGGATTTAGTGAGCAGTTTTATAACAATGTTTCAAGGCCAGGGTTGCTGATAAGGATCAGGGTGTGTGCAGGGCCTCCTTTAATGTGGCCTCAGGTGGTTCTTGATGAGGTTATCAAACCGTGATCTTCTCTGGAATGCAGTTGGCTGACATCTGTTTGTTGGGGGTTTTAGTTCTGTAAGGAGCTCAAAGATATTGTTATATGTATCCTTTATTTTTAAAAATAAATTTATTTATTTTATTTTATTTATTGTTGGCTGCATTGGGTCTTCGTTGCTGCACGCGGGCTTTCTCTAGTTGCGGCGAGCGGGGGCTACTCTTCGTTGCGGTGCGCGGGCTTCTCATTGCGGTGGCTTCTCTTGTTGTGGAGCATGTGCTCTAGGCCCACAGGCTTCAGTAGTTGTGGCACGTGGTCTCAGTAGTTGTGGCTTTTGGGCTCTAGAGTGCAGGCTCAGTAGTTGTGGTGCACGGGTTTAGTTGCTCCGCGGCATGTGGGATCTTCCCGGACCAGGGATTGAACCTGTGTCCCCTGCATTGGCAGGTGGGTTCTTAACCACCGCGCCACCAGGGAAGTAAGTCCCTCTGTGTATCCCTTGAGGAGGGACCAGGGCCCTGGCCCAAGGCTGCTCTCCTGCTTCCTGGCTGCCCCTCCCTTGTCTCTGCGTCCCCTCCCTTCCCTGATTAGCAGCAGTTCGAATCTGCCCTCTGGAACTCAGGGAAGGTCATGGGGGCTGGAGTCTGTTCCCTACAAACAAAAGTGGCTGCATGGAAAGGCTTCTGTGCCCAGGAGCCCCACAGCGTCCTACTTGGTTTCAGTTGTCACCCTTTCCTGCTGCCCCCTTTCCTCAGACGTGGCCACCCTCACACTCCCGAGGGCGGGGGTGGGACCAGGGCCTGGCATGTCTTTGGTGGTGCTGCCTTCAGGGCA